GTATGCTGAATGCTCATTCGCTAACTAAACACACCTTTCTTGAATATCCACCAGACTGGCATTATGTTAAGCTTCAGGAAAATACAGCTATCACCAGACCTTGCTTTTATGGAATGTGTTTGTTAGAAAGAAATTAAGACAAGTTCATAAAATAACTACCGTATAAAATAATATATACACAGCATGTAACAAGTAGAGAGGACTAATGGAGTTACCAGGAGCAATCAATGGGGGTGATGGTGGCAGGCTTCATGGAGCTCATCTGAGATGTACCTCCATGAACAGATTTCTGTGGCCTCTGATGCAGTGATTTGTTTAAGGTGGGAACCAGAATATCTCGTTCATCTTTATATCTCCACCACCCAGAGATGAAGGTTGATGCAGATGGACTGAGTACAGTGTACTGTGTGCAACCCCAAGGCGTGACAAGAGCAGCTAGTCTAGTTTGAAAGATGGGTCTACAAAGAGAAATGGGAGATAAGGTTGGGAGAGATCAGGAATAGCAGGAGAGAGAAGAGAGAGAGCCTGAAGAAACCTTGGATCCTTTCTTAGACTGAATTTCCAGCCTCTGGAGAATTCTGCACCAGACACACAGGGAGTGCTCTGAGTCTGGGAAATGCAAGGAAAAGGAGCTGAAGCCATTTTCCAAGTTAGTCTGAAAGCACTGTGAAATGACAGAAAGTGAAGCACTCCAGGGCTAGGAGATCTTCTGGCCCCATTCAGAAGCCAAAGGACACAGAGTCTGGTTGTGCCCCAGGCATGAGAACTCATGGCAATTTTCCAGGCCTTTCCTGATGATTAAGGAACTCTGTGGCATAGTGCCTGAGGCATTTGACTGCTAACCAGAAGGTTGGTGGTTCAAACCCACCAGCCACTCTGCGGAAAGAGGACTGGGCATTCTATTTCTGTGAAGCTTTACTACCTCAGAAACCCAAAGGGAGTCACTATGAGTCTAATCAACTCAATAGCAGGGAGTTTGGTTTTGGTTTTCCTGTTGTGGTCTCATTGCAGCCACCAAGTAAAGCCACAGAGGACAAGCTAGGGTCTGAGTCTATGTGTGACTCCCAAACTCACACTTTTCCCTTCGATGGTGCTGACTCTAAGATGGAGACTCTAACAAGAAGAGTAAAGGTTTGGCCACACGGAGGTAAAGGTTTGGTCTTGGTCTCAACAGTTTCAGAAAATAACAGTCAACTGGAGTTTATGCAACGCAAGGTGATCATTCATTCAATAAGTGTTTAGATGACTCAAATGTGCCAAGCTTGGCAGAAGATATTTTGCTTTGCCAAAATATCGTTCATTCACTAAGCATTTGTCATGCAACCATCACATGCCTTGTGCCAGGTACTGTTCTAGGCATTAGGAATATAGCAATGAACAGAGCAAAATGCTTGCTCTCACTTGAGTGAGTGGAGACAAATAAGTAAGTCTATAATTCATCAGGCATTGTAGGGTGGTGCAAATGGTAAAATGCTCAGCTACAACTGACAGGTTGGCTGTTTGAACCTTCTCAGGGGCACCTCGGAGGAAAGGCCTGGTGATTTGCTTCCAAAAGTTCAAAGCCATGAAAATCCTATGGAGCATGGTTCTATTCTGACATACATGGGGTTTCTATGATTGGGATCAGCTCAAAGGTAATTGGGCACAACTGGGCAACATAATATACCAAGTGGTGACAAGCGCAACGGAAAAATGAAGCAAATCAATGGGACAGAAAGTGAGGGGGTTGTGTGTGTATGGATGTGGTACTTCTGATGGGGTGGTCAGTGAGGATAAGCTGACATGTGAGCTGAAACCTGAATAAAGTAAGGGAGTGAGCCAAGTGGATATTTGGGGGAAAAATATTCCAGATAGATAGAGGTAACAGGAAACCTCAGACAAGAATGTGCATCATGTATAAAGTACAGTAGGCAATATATAAAGATACAGCCCTTCATTTGCTTATAGTCTAGTAAGAAAGTTCTTTAGCACAAAAGTAATTATAATATAAGGTAAGCATGTGAAACTCTAAACCACTGTGAGGAGGAAAAGATCACTTTTCATCTGGGAAACTGGAAAGGAGATGAAGCTGGACTAGTCTAAAGAACAGACAGGACTTGGAATATTTAGTTTGAGGAGAGTAACACTGGTAGAGAGAACAGCAGGGACATTGAGGTGGAGGTGGAGATGTAGAAAAGATAGCTGTCTTTAAAAATATTTGCAGACTTTAAAACATTGATATATGGGTGGATACATGGGTAGACAAGCTGAAGAATTAGGTATATCTATGCAGGGGGGAGTGTGCCCATGGCCACGTATAGGGTTGGCAGACAATGTTTCTACAAGTGTATTTGTATGTTCTGTAAGAATCCCAGGTATGTAGTAGAGCTGACAAAGGATAAGGTTGTAGTCATTTCTTGGCCACAGCCAGCTACCCAGAGGAAGCGAGTAGTTGGACCTGTGGGCTCGGGACCATGGTTGCAAGGCACATCAAGCTCAATTGGCATAACATACTACACAAAAACGTTGTTCCACATCCTACTTTGGCAAGTAGCAACTGGGATCTTAAAAGCTTGCAAACAGCCATCTAGATGCAACGATGGGTCCCTCCTCATCCAGAGTAAGGGAGAATGAAGAAAATCAAAGATGCATTGAAACAATTAGTCCAAGGGACTGGTACACCATGTGATCCTCAGCCTATATGACTACAAGACCAGAAGAACTAGATGGTGCCTGGCTACCATTGTCAACTACTCAGATGGGGATCTATGTAGGAGATCCTGGATAGAGTCAGAGAACAATGTGGAACAAAACTCATAATCATAAAAAAAATAATAATAATAATAAAAGGGACTAGGTTTGCTGGTCTGATAGAGCCCGGTGGAACCCCTGAGACTATGGCCCCTTGCTGCCCTTTAGGTCCGGAATCGAACCCATTCCTGCGGCTTCCAGCCAAACAAAAGACAGGCATATGAGCTGAACATTTATATTAGATAGATACATTCTTTGTAGAGATCAATTATGGAAGAATAGAAGGGCTTTGTATACACAGAGAGACAGCTTTGGGGGACAGGAGTGCATGGGAGAGAAGGACACAGGGAAGAGGTAACTACGGGGAGATGGGGAGGAAGTGGGAAGAGAGCTGCTGCACTGTGGGAAATTGCAGTAAATTTCATGAGACAAAGTATATGTGAACTGCTGTATGGAAAATGAATTTGCTCTGTAAACTTTCACACAAATCACAATTAAAATAAAAAAAAAAAACCCTGCATACTTTAGATAATTAATTATATGAGACCAAAAGGGTAATATTTGCCCCAAACCGAAGATGAGAAGACAGGGAAGTCAGATGAATGGAAATGGGGAACCCAGGGAGGAAATGGGGAGAATGCTGGCACATTGCAGGGATTTCCACCAATGTCAAGGAGCAATGTGGATATGAACTATTGCTTGGAAAGCTAATTTGCTATATAAATTTAATATAAAGCACATTAAAATGTTAAAATATATATATACATATATATATTTGAAGAGCTAACACATGGATAATATCTCTAAGGGCAGAGCCTGAACCAAAAAGCAGAAATTTGAAGGAGGCAGATTTCCACTCAATATGAGATTAAAGTTTCTGATCAAGAAGAGTCATCCAGCAAGAGGATGTGTCTGGGTGGGGCCAGCATGCCTGGGGTACATGGCTAGACCTAATGATTCCTCAGGTGCCTTTCAGCTCTCAGATTTAATGAAAAACCAGCTTAGTATTTCACACCTCAGGTTTTCTCTCACCTAAGGGTGGCAAGTACCTTAAAGTATTTTACTTGAGATGGTGCATGGCTGAGGGGCCTGTAAAGAGTTACATTTTCTGACTATAGCTCATTAAGGAAACAAACATAGCTGATGAATTCTTCTGCCTTTGGAAGTTGCTCTGATTTGGACTTGCTCTATTTTCCTCAAGTAAGATGCAGTTGCAATAACCAATCATATTCTTTCTCTGTGTCTCTCACATACACACACATAGGCCCACAAGCCTAAAGAGAACAACAAAGGAATCTCCTGAACTACACTCCTCATATTTGGATGCTGAGATAATTGATCCCATTCTAATGCCTCCAAAGTATCTTGGTCACCCCTGCCTTCCCTTAGGCCCCCAAGACTTTCCACTGTGCTGACCCTTTTCTTTAGAGCCTACCGAACACGCAGCACTGTGTGTGCCCAGGGCCCAGAAACACAGGCGTTTGTTCTGTTCTTCAAAGTGCTCAAAGAACTAATGGGCAATTCTGCCCAGTCAAAAAGCATTCTCTGTCTAAAAGGCTCCTCTGGGCCTGTGCTTCGTTCCAGGCACGTAGCTTGCTCAAGGCTTCTTGCTAATTCTCCTCTTCATTCAAGCCAACCTCATTATTGGTGCTGCGTTTTGGCTCAAGCGGGAACATTCTTTAAGGGACAGTACTTAAGAGCTCTCAGAAAGTAATTTTGCCTGCTCAAGAACATCTAGGGAAATAGGGCCTGAGTGCCACATGGCCCAATTCTAATCACAGGAACACTCAGAACATCACCTCCATTATGCATGGGCATACTTCCCTGCCCCTACCAGGTACAACAGTCGCCACTCTGTGAACACATCTCTTCCTCCCTGGGCTTTTCACCTGCAGTTCACCACATAGTTCCTTCCTCCTTGCTGTGGTGCTTGGAAGGAGCTTCGAGTGGACCAACCCAACAGGCAATGGGAGCAGGACATACATAGCAGGTAGCCTGACTTCTAGGCCACCACGAGGATGTTCCAGATGCCAGGAGAAATGCCCCAGCCCCTGTTGTTGTTGTTATGTGCCATCGAGTCAGACCTGACTCATAGAGACCCCTCCTTGGGTTTCCGAGGTGGTATCACTATGGAAGTAGATTGCCCAACTTTCCTTCCGAGGAGTGGCTGGTGGGTTTGAACCGCCAGCCCTTTGGTTAGCAGTCAAGTGTCTTAGGCACTATGCTACCAGAGCTACTGCCCCAGCCCCTAAGCCCTATCAAAACCCCACCTGGTGTTCAAGTGGTCCTGGTACTGCTTCACTTCACCACTTCGTGGGTGACCACTCTCGACAAGGCTGTTGGCTGCAAGGTTCACGCCATCAATCTGAGTCATCAAAGTCTTCATCTCCTGGTCCAGGATGTCGAACCTGGTATGAACAGAGAAAATGAGGTTTCACGAGGCGGCAGCAGACATGTCATTACAATGGCTACCCAGTCTTCAGAATCTGTAACTCTTGCCTTCTCCTTCCACCTCTTGGACATGTTCATCCAGGTACGGGAAGTAAAAGGAGGCAAGATAAGCTGACACACCCAATTTTCTGATTTATCGGTCCAATTTCACGGTTTAGCATTCCCTGGGCCAGGCTAGAAGATAGGTGGTTATCTACTACACAGGCCAAAGGCTCAACAGAGAGTTGTGAAAGGAGGGTAAGGCGGGCTGCAAAAAGGTTAAAGGGAGGGGGTGTCAATAGCCACAGGGAACACCTGCCATGGCCTCCACTGCCCTAGTTGGTGCGCTTGAACTCTGATTCAACTTACCCTGACACCGTGACCTGAAGGGTACCCTTCCCAGCCAAGTGCTCCTGGTGGCAGAATGGAGAGCTGCTAGAGCTGGGGTATGAGGAGGATTGAGTGGTTATGAAAACCAAGTCTTCTGGTGAAAGAACCCAGGTCCTTTGAGCATCAGCACAGGATTACCTCAGCACTGTTCTAGGGAGCAGCCTTTCCTCCTCAAGTCCTGGATTCTGTGCTTAGGATGCTGAAATGTCACTTAGACTACAAGTATGATCTCATGCCAGAATGCTGAGGGAATCAGAATACTGGGAAAGTGAACGGTTTTGCAGATTAGTGGTTTACAAATTGGTCTCTGTGGCCCTTAGGGGTTCTGTGGCTTAGAGACTGCCACAGAAAGCTAGTGTTATTGGGGTCCAGACCTCTCACTCCCACTCTAGAGGCTCTACTAGCTCCTATGTTCTATGTCAGGGATTCCATATACAAGTCATTTGAGCAAAGGCTTCTGTAGTTGAAAAGCAATTGAGTAACTAAACTAGAAATATCCCTTTCTTTTTAATTTGACAAAACCAAGACCCTGATGGGGGTGGGGGGCGAAGTACTCCAGGCCATAGAGGCAAATGAGATTTTGTATCTCCTGATGCCTATACCCTGTGTGCTTTTAAAAAACCATCTGTATGAAATCAGATGTTCAACAAATACTCTAAATTGTAGATGAGAAAGTTGGAGGGCTGTGAGACTAGGTCAATGAGAACAGAAAAACTAGAACAGAAATAATTAAAATGTTGATACAATGTGAAGAATGTAACCAATATCACTGAACAATTATGTGTAGAAATTGTTGAATGGGGACCATTCCAACAAAAATACAATAAAAATTAAAACCAAAACAAAACAAAAAACCTTGGAGTAGTTCTAATCTTCAACTCATGGGCCACCATGAGTTGGAATTGACTGAACTGTGACAGATTTTTTTTTTTTTTAAATTAAGCCAAACTAGGTGAAAGGTGGAGTGCAGGCCTTGGGAAGGAGGGCTAAGGAACAGATACATGGGCTCTGACCTGTGCTGCACGACCTCCAGGTCCTCCAGAGTGTCTGGGATTTCCATCTGGGCCAACCACTTCTCCTTCTCGCCCATCCACAACTCACAGGCATCTGTCTCCCCAAACACTGTGTACAGGTCCAGGGCGTCCTGTAGCCTCTGCCGACGCAGGTCTGCCTGGGCTACTACTTGCTGGTAGAGCTCCCGGAGGGTTTGCAACCGGTTGGTCACATCTGGGGAATCCCGAAACTCTTGGGGGAAGCCCTGGGCCTGCTGTTCCAGGTGCTCCATCACTCCACGGCTCTCCTCCAGCTCCTCTAGGAAGTCCTTGTGCTTCTTCCCCAGGGCCCGTGTGGCCCCTTCATCCTGCCCCACATCTTCACCTGAGAGCAGTCGGTGGGCATCCTGCAGCCAGGCTTTCAGGTCATCTGCATCACCCTGAAACTGGAAGAAGGTCTCAGCATCCTGGAGGTTCTTCTTGCGAAAGGCAGCCAGCTCCTTCAGCTGGTTCCACTGAGCTGACACCTCCTTGATACGAGCCTCAATCTGTGGGTGCCCAAACTGCTTACGTGCAACCATGCCCTCAGCCTCTTGGAAGATCTGTTCCAGGTGGGTATCCAGTCCCCGGAGCTCATCCTCAAAGGCCTTGTGCTTGCGTTGTAAGATAAGCACGCTGGTCAGGTCCTTGCCATAGTCCAAGGAAGAGTAAATTTGCTCCTTCTCCTTGATCCAGCTCTCAGCCTCATCCATCTCCCAGAAGAACTTCCAGAGCCTCTTGGACTGCTCCAGCTGGGCCTTTCGTCCAGCTGCCATGTTGCTCAGCTCTGCAAAGCACTGTTCCAGATGGCTGACACGGTCCTGGATGACTTGGGGGTCACAAGGCTGGTACCCTGGGAAAAATAGGAAGAAAGGAGGAAAATGGAAGGAGAGGACTTCATTTATGGGCAAATTTCATTCAACTGCTAGGTTAGAAGCACACAATCTAAAACCTGTCATCTCACTAGGGCTTCTGGATTGGATGCTGGGGTCCTGATCAGAGGCGTATCTATGGAAAATAGTGCCTATGGCAAAAAGAAAAGATGTCACCCTGAGGATAAGGTGTGCCTGGCTCACACCATGGTATTTTCAATTACCTCACATGCATGTGAAAACTGGACAACGAATAAGGAAGAGCAAAGAAGAATTGATGCATTTGAATTATGATGTTGGCAAAGAATATTGAATATACCATGGACTACCAGAAGAACAAACATAGCTGTCTTGGAAGAAGTACAGACAGATGCTCTTTAGAAGCAAGGATGGTGAGACTGCATCTCATGTACTTTGGACATGTTATCAGGAGGGACTAGTCCCTCGAGAAGGACATCATGCTTGGTAAAGTGGAGGGTCAGCAAAAAAGAGGAAGACTCTTAATGAGATGGAATGACACAGTTGCTGCAACAACGGGCTCAAGCATAACTATGATTGCAAGGATGGTGCAGGATGGGGCAGTGTTTCATTCACAGGGTCACTATGAGTCAGAATTGACTTGGCACCTAACAACAACAATGGCAATTAGTTTTAAATTGTTGAATGATCTCTCACAGCTGGAGATGGAAACTGCTATGGTGACAGAAACTGCTCATTAGCGCTTCCTCCCACTCCCCACCCCCCTAAGTGGCACCCAGGGCACATGTCATACCTGCCATACCCTAGATACACCTCTGGTCCTGGTTACTCAGTGGGTAGACCTGGTTCTATATAATTAGTTCCCACTAAAACTACAAGAATGGAGGAAGGTTAAAAGTTTGGTCAGTAGTCATTATAACGCACATGAAATTATTTTAAAAAGAAAATAAAAACACCCAGTCACAAATTTCAAGGTGATTCTTCAAAAAGGCAGTGAAGTCTCTTATTTCAGATGACAAATCAGAAACCTAAATTGTCTCAGCCATGACTTGAATTATCAGAGATAATGAAAGACAGATGATGCCTCACTGGTGCTTGGAAATGCCTTTTCTGATAACAGATTATCACAGTAGTGCCTTCTCTCTGGCGAGTTTGCTGTCCCTTAAGGTTCTTTCTTGGGCCATTAGTTGATGAAAGAAGCAGAACTCTAAAGCTAGTTTCAGTGGATTTTTCCAGGCTAGGGTGCTGAGCCAGAGCATGGGGCTCCGGCTTCAGAGGCCTCAGCAGGGAAGACATCCTTGGCCTCACCTTGCCCCTCAGTGAACTGCAGGGTGGCTGTGGTGATGGCCTTCACTTTGTCCCCTTGGATGGCGATGTCGGCCTCCATCAACTTGTGCTTCTGTAGTAAGTCCTCTACCTCCAACAAGTGTTTCCCAAACTCAGCAGACAAGAGGTGAGCCTGGCAAAGATGACAGGGTGGAAGGAACAAGGAGAAGTGAAGAGAATGACACACTAGGAGAAGAGGATCCTCCAAGGGGAGTGTCCATGGTATCTAACCCAGGGTAAGTCTGATGCAGCTGGAAAATGGCTGCTGCTTAGGATGGAAGAAGTTACCGAGCAGGACTTCCTCCTGGGAATGCCCATCAGAATCACTCATGAAACACCTTATAGAAGCTCAAGCCCCACACTCGATCTGCTGAATCTCTCTCAAGGTATGGAGCTGGGCATGTACATTTTTAGAAAGCTCTATAGTCAGTCTGATGTGTATCTTCAGTTGAGACCCATTGGAATGGAAGGAAAAGAGAATTAAGACTTGGCTGCCCTGACCCTGGGAGGTCTGGACTCTAACTAGAGTCAAATTGTGATTCTCAGAGCCTAACTGTCCCAGCTCCTAATTAATGTCCACCTCTTCCAGGCCCTGCTGATTGGCACCTTTGCTAGTATAAACCCAAGATTTCTCTAGAATTAGAGATGTAATTGACCCGTGCTGAAGTCATCTACCTGGGATCACTGCCATGTGCTACCTCAGTTTCTCCACTCTGACTCTGGCATGTGACTGGCTGGGAGGCTTCTAAGGAAGTAGACCCTAACTGCAGGGCCAGCCTTGAGTCCTAAGGTGGAGACTGTGGGGTGTGGGGGCTCCCCAGGGCCCACCTTGATCTCGTCCATCCAGTTGATGCTGTGCAGCATGTCCTGGAAGAGCTTCTGCAGTGCCAGGGTCATCTCAAGCCTTTGGCGTCGGGCCCGCAGCAGTTCCTGCAGGTAGCTCCACAGGCGTAGGATGTTGTCCTTGCGGGCTGTGATGCGCTTCTGGTCATGGTAATTCTCCTTCTCCAGCTCCTGGGCCAGGTCCTCCAGAGCCCTCACGCGCTCCTCGTAGGCAGCTGTATCAGTCTCGATGGCCTCATGCTTCTTCTTGGCGGCCTCCACAGCTGCCAGGTCATAACCAAAGTTATCCTGCTCCACAAGGAGAGAAATGGGCAGCACAGTCAAACTCCCCTTGACTCATGTGCCCAAACACTGAAGAATGCTGGGTCCCTCCAGACTTACTGCTAGATGAGAAACCCATTCCCAAGGAGCAAGTGCTGCCATGTTTTTCAATCTAACTTATCAGAGCCAAGTTGTGAAGATTTAACATCTGCCAAGTGCCTTCAAAAGCAGCTCATGATTTTAGTTGCTGTGCCCTAAGTGTGGGTGATGGTGCATGGATATCACCAATGGAGCCTTTTTGAGGCTTGCTGGTACTCACCACCCTGCCCCAAGTGGACCATCCAGTCCTGGGCAGGAAAGGCTTCTTTGCCCTCAGAAACAGCTGTAAACAGATGGTTTAGCCACACGTGATCTATGGGGCACACACACTCTCCAATTCTCTCAGAACACTCACTTTCCCTTTTCTGGAAAGAATTTAATTTGATTTCAGGCTCCAAGTAGGAAGGAACAGATGCTGTCATGGAGAATCAGCCCTGTGGTCAATTTCTAGCTAGTGAAATAAGTTGCAGTCCTGAAGGCCAGAGTCCAAAAGGCAATCTGACACACACAGAATATGTGTTTTCACCATATTACCAGAGAACCATTATTTAATGTCAACTGAAACCTTAGCTTTAGTTGGTGCTACTGGCCCACATAAGACAACTTGGGGGGCCAGTTATAGACTGTGAAGCTCTTTCCTAAAAATGAGACTTAAACCCTGGAGCATTCTTGAATTTTGATCCACCCAACCCTGTGGAGCTGGGTTGGAAGGAAGGCTTGTCCATGGAGAGGCTTATCCAGCTGCCACCAAGAGGCCAGCTAGGCTCCAGCCCAGGTAAGGCTTGGGGGCTCAGGAAAATGTCCCCTATCCTCCTATCTGCAAGCCTGCCCCCATTACCTGGGCCACGAGGCGCTGGTTTTCATTGAGCCATGTCTCCCTCATTGCAGCTTTTCGGTCAAAGCGCCGGGCTAACTGCTCCAGCTTCTCCTGGCGGATAAGCTCGTTTCTCAGGGCCAGCTCTCGCCGGTACTCTGCTTCCTCTAGGCTTTCCCAGGCCTGCACAAGGGACAGAACCAGAAGTCATGCCTAGACATCTCAGGGCACAGGACAAACACCTAGGTTTCTCTTCCACCTGACAGTGATTTCTGGAACACAGGCTCTTGAGTAGGTGGAGGTAGATTAAAGTTCAATGGCAGCTTTTTTGGCTTCCATGACTGGGCCAATCAATGATTCCAGAAATACTGGTCTTGACTTCCCAGGTCCCTCTTAACCTCAACCTTAAACCTGCCTCAGAATATTGACCTATACGATGTTTTTTTTTTTTTCTTACCTTGCTTAATAAATTCTCATTGACTAAATGTCTACCTCTATTAGAACTTCTAAAGAGTTCTGGTGGCATAGTGCCTAAGGCATTTGACTGCTAACCACAAAGTTGGTGGTTCAAACCCACCAGCCACTCTGAGGAAGGAAAATGGAGAATCTACTTTCATAAAGATTTACCTTCTTGGAAACCCAAGGGGGTCACTGTGAGTCAGAATTGACTCAGTGGCAGTTGGTTTTTTTGTTTGTTTATTTATTACAACTTCTGGATGCTGTTAAGCTGTCAAACTTTTGAAATGTCATAATGCATGTCCCTTTGTTACATGCAGTTAATATTCCAGATTCAGTGACAAACTTAAAGTCATATAGAAGGTAGGTTTTGAAATTGGCACCAAAAAATGGACTCTGGGTGCCTGTACAGTAGGCTAAATTAATGGGTAGTAGGCAAAGTTTGACCCGTCAGAACTAGGTTCAGATAACTGCCCCAAATAGCCAGCATGTGTAATTAATAACACCAGAGAAAGTGGCTTGGTTTACCCTCCCCAGTGACTATTTCCTCATGCTCTTATCAGGAACTCCATCAACCCACTGGCAAAGTGTAATGGAAAATGCCGCTTTACCCGGTTGATGTCAGACACCAGTTTCCCGTCATGTGGTGTGTACACTTTTTGATTGTTGGCTCTCATCCGGGACTGGATGGTAAAAAGTAGAACTTCCAGGTTCCCCTTCTCTTGAAATCTGTTAAGAAAACAGAGATAGAGAGATGAGTGTCCAAATCCTCATAACCAAATTTTTCCAAAAATCAACATGAGGCCCTGGCATCTTGGAGCTTGGATAATAAAGCATATTAGTATATTTCCCTTAAAAACAAAGGAAAAGTAAAGAGGCTCTATAGGTCTATTTACCTGTTGAAGCATCTGTAAGACTCACCAACTGAGAACTAATAAGAGTTTGGGTCTTTATAATATAAATCAGAGAAAACACAGTGGCTGCCAGAGCATTTCCTTACATTTATTTTCACAGTGGAATGACTAACTGGAATATTCTGGTAATTTCTATAAATGCCAACTTTTGGTGATCAATATAAAGAAACCCTTTCCTGTTCTGCAAATGATGAAGGCATTGACTAGCTCTTTAGTCTGTTCTTTATTGACCGAATCAATAAAAACCTTCTTAGAAGAAGCATTATCCATGTAAGAACATATTGCACTGATAGCAACTTTCACTTAAGTCCTGTGAGCCAGATCTCCCAACAAGTCCTAAAGGCCAGATGCTTCAGAAGGAAGTGAAACGGCTCAGCACCAGGAGGATTTCAGGTGTAGGAGATGACAATGGGCAGTAGGACAGATGTTTGGAACTTGAGTCCAAGCTCCAGGTAACTGGGTATGTTCACATTCCTGCATGTACCTAAGTATCTACCCACTTCTACATCTTCAACTGTCAGTCAAGGATTGTTGTAAGCAAAGTCCCCACCTTAAGTTCAATGGATTTGACCCAAGGGCTCACAGGAACTTCAAGAGAGCTCAGCCCTAAAGCACTGTCCACACAGCTAAGACATAACTCCCCTGGGTATAGTACCTAATGGACTCTAAAGGATGTTATCTGTATTGAATTTAGGACTTTAAAAGTGGGTTAGTATCAGACCAGAAACCAGATACTTGTTTAAGGTACATTCTAGACTTCACATCTCATCTTTCCCTGTTTGATAGCCATGAATGGAGAGTGTGGGAGATAGCAACAATGGGCTAAAGCTGCTTTGGAAGAGCTGAACAGGCTAATGATAGAGGAGCTGGAATGCTCCCTGCAAGTGTGCATGTGTGCATGTTTTTGCATGTGTGCATGTGTGTGTGCATGTATATAAGTGCATGTGTGTGCACGTGTGTGTAGACTCATGCACATGGGTGCAGGCCCTGAACAATGGGGTGAGCAGAGGGCCTGAGAGGCAGGCTAAGTGCTCTGCTAATGAGCAGTGACAGATGGGAGAGGACAAGAAGATGTATTTGATGATCAGTAAGGCCCCACACAGGCAGCTTTGGGGCTGAGATTACAAAGGTCATTATTAGAAAACAAACTAGCTCTATGCACAGAGAGAGAGGAGCTTTCCAGAACAGGTTCCTCAGAGACTTAAAAGCCTGAGATTTCACTCCTGCTCACCCTCAGAGATCTAGAAAAGTCACATTTTACTTTCTTTGGCTATGGGTTGGGAGGTACACAGACATCTGTTTCCTATAAGCTGTTGCTTGGGAAATGAGCCCTGGTGGCACAGTGGTTAAGCGCTGGGCTGCTAAGTGAAAAGTCAGCAGTTTGAACCCACCAGCTGCTCCACAGGAGAAAGATATGGCAGTTTGCTTCTGTAAAGATTACAGCCTTGAGACCCTATTGGGCAGTCCTACTCTGTTCTATGGAGTCACAATGAATCAGAATCAACTCAATGGCTGTGGGTTTATGGCTTGGAAGCAAGATGGCAAAGAGGTGATGAAGTAGGTGCCAGATGTGATGCTCTTAAGCTCGAGGATACACCTTGTGGACACACTTCACAAGGCTCAGTGCTTGATGTTCCCTTTTTGGCTGTCATCTCTCAGGCACAGATGACCACCCCCTCTGAGTGCCAGACTCCCTAGAAAAGGACCCTTACTTGGGCGGCTTCTCCACAGTGCGGTAGGTGCTGAAAGCCTGCAGCTGCTGCTGGACACCGGTCAGGGAGTTGGCAAACTTGCGGCTGTTCAGGACAGTGATGGTCTGCTCGATCCAGGTGAGCAGGTCTGAGGCCAGCCCACTGTACTTCTCAATCATCTTCTCGGTCTCAATGGCATGGTCGATCACCTAATAAATCACCCTATTACTCATTATCATCAGAAGGGCAGTGACTCCAAGGGAGGACCAAAATTGAGGTGTCCCTGAAACGGGGTTCCCACCTCTCAAGGTCCAGAATGTTTTATGTTAGGTTTGTTTCCTAAGCCCCAAATTGTTGCTAACGCAGAAGGAGTGGACTGGAAGTGGGTGCCCTCCTCTTGCACTGGCAGAATCGGTAGGGAGCTGGACTGTCAATTCTAACCCTGTAAAAGATTGGTAAGTTCACTGTTCACTGTGCCAGGATATCAGCCACTAGAGTGTCCAGAGGTTCATTTATTTTGAAATATTTATTAGGAATCAAGAGCCGTCAGGCACTTCCTTTGCTAAACACCAAGCACACGAGGATGAAAGAAAAATATCTCCACCCTAGAGGAGCTAACAGCTCATGGAAAGGAATCTGGTATGAAGGTCTGCACAGTGCAGTGGATTCCTGGTATACTACGGGAGCCTAAGAGGCCTGAAACCACAATACGTCAACCAGACGAAACCTCGTATTTGTTCACAAGGGAAGGTTTTAGACGTTGGTCTCTGGATGGAACATAGGGGCTCAGGCCTGCAGGCTGTGGTATCCTTCAGGACAGACCATCACCCATTTTGCAGCTGCTGAATGGCAGTGGGTGGCTTCCGTGGGAGTTGGGGGTTGATTTGTGCTTCCCTGCCAGTCTACCACAGCTGGGGTCCAGACACAAAGCTCTCAGGATGGAAAGGGAGCATCTCAGTCAAAGCATGATGCGACAAATGGAAACAAGGAAGGCTCTGGTTACCTTGCCAACACGCTTGCCCTCCACTGCCAGCACCTTCATCTTGGAGAAGTAGTGGTAAAACGCTACCACGTAGGTGATGATGGATTTCTCATCAGGGTTTTCTGTGAAGACATCTGCAAGGGGGAAGGGTACACTCTCAGACCAAACTGGACGCTATAAAAGTCAAGCTCAGAAGGTCTGCCCCTCCTTGTTCCTCCAGCATGAAGCTCAACTACAAGAACCAAGTAACAACCGAAGGGTATGAATGGAAAAGTATAGACTGGTGATTTTCGAGACATTATGAATGAAGAAAGAGGCAAGATCCATATTGCATAATAGATCCCTAAACAGGCCATGTGAGGTGCTGGGAATAAACTTAGAGTGAAGTGTGGGCCTGGCATAGAGCCCTGGATCAGCTACCACCCCTACACTGAGCCCACAGCTTGCCCAGCACTTGGACTAGGCCTGACCGCCTTCTAGGTGCCCTCCCTCCAGCACAGTGAGTGCTGTCTCCCATCGCTGCAGTGAAAGGCTTGGTGGGGGTGGCTGTCAGCTCACCTTCGGGGTCAAGGAGCGGGATGATGCCCAGCTGACGCTCAGCTACATCAAACGCGTGCTCCAGGTTGTGTCGGGCATTAGAGTCCTTCAGCTTGTCAAAGTCAATCAGGTCAGGCCTGGAGATGAAGCCAGATTATTAAAGGGTGTGGCCATGGCACCCCCTACCAGAAAGGCAGCCCCAGGATGCAGCTGAGACACTGGGTAGCTTCAGTGGGTAGCTGGGTGGCCCAGCAGGAGTGGGAGCAGGAGGCAGAGGAGAGGGAGCAGCCGTTGAGCACCAGCATGTGAGGAAGTACGCACTAGGCATGACGGAGTTTAAGGAGAGCAGGGTGTTCCAGCTTGCTAAGGGTGAAAGGGGAAGGACAAACAGAGGTAACATAACCTCTGTGTAAAGTGCAATGTGTCCAGATAACCCAAGTGACTGTCTCAGCCCTTTCCTTCTTACCGGTGCTTATGAATCAGGGCATTGAAGGCCAGACCATCCTTCCAGCTGGAGGTGAAGTTGGTGACATTGACATGGGGATAGCTGCATCAAAGAGAAATATTAAGACCTAGTAAGACCTGAGAAATAGGTTCTTTGGGGATCTCCAAAAAGATGTGGGCCATTACACCAGGAGAGGAATGAATCTGGCCCTTTTTATGCTACTTCAACACAAGGAGGCAGCAATTAATTCCCTGTAAAGAGCCCACAAGGTCCTATGAGGCCCAAAGACTCATACACCCAACAGACCCCATGATCTGACCCCAGGTAACTTTGGAAGAGAATCCTGTATTCCACACCTCAAAGAATGCAGGACAGACTGTGCAGCAACTACATGTTGGCTGCTATAGTTCTGGGTGATGATGTCTAGTACCCCTTGGGGTGGCAATACTCAGGGGTCACCAGGAGGTGGTGGGGAATGTGGTGGTGGTGGCTAGTTCCCAGGCCATACCCTGCTGTCTTCATCTGACACCATAACAGCAACGCATCCTTGGCTGAGCGAGTCTCGCGGCCTTCCTGAGTTTGGACTACAATGTCCTGAATCTGAGGGTGGCAGGAATGAGAGAGAATTAGATTTGAGTTTGATCTATGCCTCCTTGCCTTCCCTGGAGTGCTTGATCCTTTTTCTCCCTCTGTAGCCATCCATCTACATCACCAGCCCTGCAGCAACCACACCCTAAGGCTGGTCCATTTCCCTGACTTCTTGTTGTTGTTGTTATGTGTTGTCAAGTCAGACCCAACTCATAGCGACCCCTCCTGGATTTCTGAGGTGGTATTACTATGGAAGTAGATTGCCCAACCTTCCTTCTGAGGAGTGGCTGGTGAGTTTGAATCACCAGCCTTCTGATTAGCAGTCAAGTGCCTTAGGCACTATGCTACCAGAGCTCCCTTCCCTGACTTAGTCAGCTGGAATGGCACAGGGCTGGCTTGCTCATGCCAGACAAGATGGCTCTAATTTGATAACTCTAACAGGAATCTGTGAACACATGACATGACATCTTCATTCCTCCTCTGGAGGGAGGTACAATGTCCTGCAAGGCCTGGAACAACATGAATGCTGAAAGGCATTGTATTTCGATTAGTTGCTCCTCTAGTCTTTTCATTCTTCCCAATTTTGCTGTTATTATTGTTTAATGTCATGCACCTAGGAGAGTGAGTATATTCAGCCTCTAATCTTCCAGTTGGATAAAGTCTTTAGTTTGCAAGTTGTATGCTGTCTCCTTCCTGCTCTTACCTCACCAGACTAGGTTCTTTCTGCCCCAAGACAATTAACTTGGAACTGCCACATTAGGGGTAAAACCAGCAGGTAGAAAGCCCTGTTTTCTTCCCTCATCCTTTCTAAATTTCCTTACAGACAACATGGAACTTAAATTTCTGGATGAGCAAAGAAAAGTTTTTGACTGAAAAATGTAAAATCAGATCTTTTGTCATATTTTCGCAATTTCTCGTGCATGATTAACTATTTCAAAAACCAGAAAGTTATATATGCGGAGAAGGGAGCAAAAAAGAAGATCCCCTAGCCAGATCTCAAAGTAGCTACAAATTTTGACATTTTCCCTCAGAATACTACACTATTGACCCACTTAACAGCTTGCCTTGAGCTTCTGTGACTTTGTGCGACACAGAAGTCTTCTCTCTACAAGCATTGTTCCAGGACAGGTTTCTAGCCTGCCAGAATGTACACACACTCACGCTTCACTCATGATTCCGTAAGATTCCCAAGCCCTGCCCAGTCCGGAGAGGCTCCCTCAGCCTTCTCTGCCACCAGGGAACCCACCTGGAAGCGAAGGATGATGGTCCAGATGAGACCCAGAACCAGGCGGTGGTTGCCGTCCACAATGTCATGGGAACCCATGTTCTCCAGGTGCACCCGCTGCTCCTTGAGGAACTGCAGGGCCTTGTCCACATTCTCCAGGCAGTGGATACGCATCTTCCCCTTTGTGGGCTTTGGCTAGGGGACAGCAGTGGCCCCCATGGGCATGGAGGGAATTCACCTCATGGAGATTGCCTCAGAGGTGGCTGCAGCCCAGATCAACTTCTGTCATCACCACCACCCTCCTGGTCAAACTCCTACTCCTACAGTTATTCCTTCACATTTTCAACCCTTTCCATTCAGCAAAGTTCAGAGGTTTGCCTCCTAGAGCACCCAGAGCTCTGCTACTAGGCTGCATGTGTATCTTTTTTGAATTTTTGCATTTTTGAATGCTGATAAATAGCATTCAAAAATAATGACACAACAGATATGACTGAGCACTTACTATGTGCTGGCCACAGTTCTAAGGACTATTTACTGCTGGTTGGTGATAAGGGTAGCTTTTAGCTCAGTAATCAATAAATGGGTCCACACCTGCCAACCACCTCCTCCCCTTTTCTGAATGCCCCCAGTTAAACTCAAGGAGACCCTCATTGATGAGTAATTGTATAATCTGAAGCATTCCAAGTGGTAACTCTCTCTAGTGGGATTTTAATGCAGGGTAAGAGGCAGAACTTAAGCCTGGAGTTGAAAAGGTAACTGAAGAACATGGTACCTTTTATGATATCTCAGAGAGACAGGTATTCCCCACCCCCCATTTTACTCAAGGGAGAAACAGAAACAAAATTGATCCTGAACAAAATATAAATTTTGATCTAGTTCTCCTCCAAGGACGACATGACTGCCTGGTGGGTTACAACTGACAGAACTTCAAATAAAATTCCACTTGAAAGAGTGATAAAACACACAGCAAAATATCTTCCGCATTTTCCTCTTGGTTCCAAGAGGAGTAAAAATTTCTCTAGCTTCGTAACAGGAATCCATAAACCCAAATATCTTAGCCTATGTGAGGAGGTCTCATGAGTGAGGTCATTGCAGGCCAGCCCCAGATACCCAGGCCCCATGTGAGAAAGACATGAACTCTGCATGGCTTCTGGGAAAGGCATGCAGGGGTACGGGTGGCCAGGAGGAGGCAGGAAACTCTGGGAGGTCAGGGAACCCAGTTAGCCACTTGGACACTTGGTTGAGTATTTACCTCCTGGTGTTGGAATCTCCCAAAGGAGCAGGGAAAAACCTTGGAAGGCCATGAGAACTCAAGATATCCCCAGACCATGTGTTTCCTAAAGAGAGGCTGACCACACCAGCCACAGGGCCCAGGGGAAGGGCTGGGGTACAGAG